GCCACCCATTTTGAATAATATTGCATGAGTTCCTTGTTTTTCAATGCAGCGTAGTATTCCATTGTGTGAATATACCATAGCTTCTCTAACCATTCATTTGTTGATAGACACTTAGGTTGTTTCCAACTCCTCGCTATTGTGAACAAAACTGCTGTAAACATGAGTGTACATATATCTGCTTGGGTGGCAGTTATGGTCTCTTTGGGGTATATTCCCAGTATTGGAATTGCTGGGTCAAATGATATCTCTATTTGCAACTTTTTGAGAAAGCGCCACACTGCCTTCCACAGTGTTTGCACCATTTTACACTCCCACCAACAGTGAATAAGGGTTCCAGTCTCTCCACAACCTCGCCAGAATTTGTTGCTTGCTATTCTGTTAAATTTTGCTATTCTGACTGGGATGAGATGATATCTCATGCATCTCTCTTAGAGCTAGGGGATTTGAACATTTCTTCATGTGCTTGTTGGCCATCTGAATGTCTTCTTTGGTGAAGTGTTTGTTCATATCCTGTGTCCATTTTCCAATTGGATTATTTACCTTTATCTTGTTGTGGTACTCAAGTATTTTATAAATTCTAGATATGAGTCCCTTATCTGACATGTCATTACCAAATACTTTTTCCCAGTCTGTGGCTTCCCTTTTTCTCTTTTGGAGAAGATTTTGGATGTGCAGAGGGATTTGATTCATAGAAGAAGGTCCCATTCATCTATTTTATCTTCTGCTGGTTGTAGATTTTTCAGGATACTTGGAAGACTGTTTATGTTATGCATTAGGACTTCTAGAGTTCTTCCAAGCTTTTCTTTAATGAAGTTTATAGTCCTTGGGTTTAGTCCTGGGTCTATGATCCACTTAGAGTTGGTTTTTGTATATGGAGTAAGGTGTGGATATTGCTTGAGTCTTCTGAGTTCGTTTTCCAATTTTGCCAACACCATTTGTTAAAAAGGCTGTCATTTCCCCACTTAACTGATTTAATCTCCTTGTCAAAAATCAGTTGACCGTGGGTATATGGGCTGATTTCTGGGTTCTCAATTCCATTCCATTGATCTATATGTTTGTCATTGCACCAGTACTATGCTGTCTTAACCACCACAGCAGTGTAGTAGGATTTGAAATCAGGGAGTGAGA